GCGTGGGGCTCAGCGGCAGCGGGGGCCCCGCGGGCCTTCTCCGCAGCGTCGGAGCGGGGAGCTGGGAGCCCTGGGAGCGCCTGGGAGTGCCCGGGAGCAACACCCAGCGGCTTTCTCTGGGCCCTGGGTTTTCTTCCTTCCAACTAGACGCCCGCTGAGCTCGGGCTCTCGTCACAGGAGCACTCTCGGGCGAGAGGGGCAAGAACGAAAAAGCAGCGTTTCACCCAGGCGTGCGCTCCAGGGCGCCCTGCGCTACCTGCCCGAGCTGCCCGCGCACCCCTCCCAGGAGCCGCCGCCGCGTAGCCGGTGCTCGCGTCCGCCTCCCCTCCCCCCGGAGGGCGCCACTGCTCCGCGTGCAGATGCCTAGATATAGTGGATCCCAGGAGCGATCGTCCTTGGCCCCAGCAGCTTGGGCTCTCAAATGTAGCCTTGGATTGGGGGGGTCCCCTAATCCGCCGAGCAATTCCCTTGCTTCCTCTAAACGCGGGCATTACTTTTTCTGGGATCCTTCAAAATTAAACATTGCTCCCCAAGTCTTCCAAATACCTCAGCTTTTCTACAGGGCCACAAAGATTTTCCTGGACGTTCATTTCCGGGGACCTCAAAACACATCAAGCCCCTGCTGGCTTCCCTAAATATACCCTGTGGGGCTTGGGTTTCTCAAATTTGTTTTCTGCTAGGCTCTTAAAAGATCTACATACCCACCTCCAGGTCCTGCAGATTGAGAAACACCAACCTGGGATCCCTAAAGTTTAAACAACAATCCCCCCTTCACTCCTGTGGTCATGCTGATCAATTTATCTGGCTCCCCGGGACACTTGGCATTTAGGTATTATTCTCAAAACCCGTGGAACTCTTCCCCCGTGTCCCTCCTAATTTTGGATATTAAGTTCAGGGTCTTCTAATCCTACCGTCCCAGTTCTGTTCCCCCCTCCCCCCATGTTTCAGCCCTGTTCCCCTAGTTTACCCAAGTATGGGACATTATCTGCTGAGTTCTACAAATCTACAGCACTAACCTGAGTTCCCTAAACTTTACATGTGGAATCTCAGGTACCCCCAACATACTAAGCAATTTTCCTGGAAACCCCAAAGTTTGAGCATTGATTCTTCTGCCTTTGCCCAAAGTTAGGCATCGGATCCAGAGCACATTGAGTCCTTTCCTGAATACTAAGCAATCTGCATTCTTATTTTCTGAGTTCCATAAAATTGAGAGACTGATTTCATCAGTGATCCCCCAAAATTCATTGAACAATTTTTTACATGTGTGTGGACCCCGAAGATTTGAGAGCATTCATTCCTGGAGGGCTACAAGCTTCCAGACCACTAATTAGGCTAATTAAAATCTAGACATTATTATCCAGGCCCCCAAGCACACTAAGCAAATTACCAAAGATGTGCTCAAGTGTGACAGGAGGGTTTTCTAGATTTCCCCCAAATCACACGTGGTCTCCCAGGTCCCTCTAAGTCACACCATGTACAAAACCAACCCTCGGGCAAAGCCTGTATCTTGTTATACCAGGCTGGGTTGCGCGTCCCCAAACCCCAAAC